CACTACACTCGACAAGGAAGTGAAGAAGAGTGCACGCAAAGACAAAAGACACTTCTACGAAACACTGGCAAGTGAAGCAGAACAGACTGCAGGTAGGAGAGACCTCACAACATTGTATCAAATAACCAGGTTACTATCTGAGGAGAGATCATCACAGCACAGAGGAAACAAATAAAAGACGATGACGGAAATTTAATTACCAAAGAGGAGAAACAAAGGAAACAATGGGTTGACCACTTCAAAAAGCTCTTGAATCGACCACCACCTGCAACTCATCCAGAAATACCACCTACAGCCCAGCCACTGAACTACAAGTGAACATAAATCCTCAAACAAAAGTCGAAGTCCTGAACGCCATAAAGCTACTGAAATGCAGGAAAGCAGCAGGACCTGATGGAATCCTGCCAGAAGCACTGAGAGCAAACGCAGAGACAATAGCGGACATGCTCACACCACTATTGCAGAAGGTTTGCAAGGAAGGGAAGGTACCTGCCAACTGATTGGAAGAAGGGTTACCTTGTCAAACTCCCGAAGAAGGGAGACCTCAGTGTTTGCAAGAACTGGTACGGAATCATGCTGCTGTCCACCCTAAGCAAGCAAAATAATAAGCCGCATCATCCTGGAGAGACTAAAGGATGCACTGGATTCAAAACTACGACCGCAACAGGCTGGCTGGCTGGCTATATTCAGGAAGTACAAATCATGTGCAGACCAAATTGCAACGCCACGCTACGCATCATCACAGAACAAAGTATAGAATGGCAGTCAACTCTACACCTCAACTTTATCGACTTTGAGAAGGCATTTGATAGCGTCGACCGAGAGGTAATTCGGAAACTGCCTCAATACTACGGAATACCACAAACCTTTATCAACCTCATTCAACAACTATGTGAAGATGCCACATGCCAGCCAAGTAATTCACAATGGAAAGCTCTGTGATGCTTTTGAAGTGAACACAGGAGTGAAACAAGGTTGCCTACTATCCCCCATGATATTCCTGATTGTGGTCGACTGCATCATACAGTAAACAGTGGGGAGCGAGAAGAGGGGGATACGCTAGCTGGACTGCGGAAAAGAACCTAGAAGATCTGGATTTCGCCAACGATGACTTGTGTCTGATGTCACACAAACTTGAAGATCTACAGGCGAAAACCAACAGGTTGACAGAAGAGGTGAGGCAGCGAAAACAGGACTTCAAGTGAATATAGAGAAGACAGAGGTGATGAAGATACCCAACCAACACCACCACCACCACCATCAACAACAAACTCCAATCACCATCAACACGAGGAACTTAAAGGAAGTAACCTCCTTCACCTATCTAGGAAGCACTGTTTCAACTACAGGCGACACGGGCACAGACGAGGATGTCAAAGTCAGTCAGAAACGGAAAAGCAAGACACGCCTTCATTAGCCTGAAACCAGTGTGGAGATCTTCTGCACTCAGCCTGGAATGTGAACAAGATCCGCATTTTCAACACCAACTTCAGTCAAGTCAGTGCTTCTGTGTGATGGTTCAGAGACTTGGCGCGTTACGAAACGGATTTCCAATAAACTACAGACATTCATTAACAACTGCCTACACTGGCTCGATACTGAAGATCAGATGGATTGCCAGAAAGAATAAACAACAAGGAGCTCTGGGAACGAACCAACCAAGAACCTACCACCCAACAAATATGCAGTGGAAGGAATTGGAGATGGATAGGGCATACACTGAGAAAGCCGACTGGGGACATCACAAGTCAGGCCAGGTACTCGAGTGGAATCCCCATAGGATGCGACGAGTTGGGTGTCCGAGGTGAGGGTGACATGGAGGAGATCGTGCGAGGAGGAAATGAGAGCTTGTGGGCTGTCGCGGAGCTAGGTTCGAAAGATTTCAGAGAACAGAGTACACTGGAGACGTGCTAGTGAAGCCCTATGTTCCATTAGGAACCCAAGGGACTGATAATAATAATAATAATAATAATAATAATAATAATAATAATAATAATAATAATAATTGTCATTCCATCCCACTCTATTGTATGATTGTCTGTAATTGAATGCAAAGCTATAGCCAAGCTTTTCTCTGAATTTCTTATCTTATTAGGACCTACTAATCTTGATTCGGCTAAGTTTCTGTGCTCTGTTATTATTATAAGTGACCCTGGTCGACTGCTTCCACCTATATGTTTGACCTCACAATCATTGCAAGGGATTTGATAAACCAGATTTATTTTGCTTAATTGCATCGATAGGATATTTCAACCTGCAAAGCTTGTTTCTCTCAGCTAGTTTGTTGGTTCAAATACCAGCCATTTTAAGTGCCGGTCAGCCTTATTAAGAATTCTTCGTATAGCTTCTAAGGTGCCTTCCTTCTATAGTAACACAGCAGGGGCTTTGAATTCTCTCTCACCACCATCATTACTATTATTAACAGAATTATTATTCTTAATAACACCTGTGTTACTACTACAACTACTACTGCTAATATTTTTCTTTCGATTTCTCATGAATTTATTGATAAATTTAGGTGGGTTATTATTAAGACGCGTAAGGTATTCTTGATATGTCTAATTCCCTGTCGTAGATTTTCTGGCCTACTAGTCAGACTCTTAAGCCCCATCATCTAGACATTTAACTAAGCCTAACCCTTAACTGAGATGGGGTGACAGGATTTGATTTGATTTCTAATCAACAAACTAAAATGAAATTAGGATGATAATCTTGTCATATGATTTATCCCTTCAACGCAAGTTTATATTTCAATTCAACATTACTCATTCAGTAGTTAAGTCGTATGCAACATTTCAAGGTAGTAATCAATAGTGAATAGCCTATGGGTTAATCTATGCTGTTCATATTCAAGGGATAATTCAACACAATACGTCCCTCTCTCTATTTACACTTTATTCATATAAGTACTCCATACATAGTAAGGGACTGTTATGATTTGGAGGACCGTTATATACTATGGTTGCTAACGATGAACGAATATCGAATGTCAGCCACCAACATTCAACAAATTCCCAGTGGATTCCTAACCTGGCTAATTATTAAAGAAGACATGATGGACGCTTAGAAACGTGTATTGGGGTCGAAATATCAAACACCCGAAATCGAAGGAAAATATATCTAATGTGTATAGATAGTTAGCTGTTTAAAATAATAATATTGATTGGCTGATCCACCGTATGTCTGTCTAACTGTAGATGTGATCACATAAGGTGTATTTTGATTAGTCACTCTCTAGACCAGTCATTTCTCTCTATCCCAATATCACCTCCTTCGAAAGAATGTTATGTGGGGTCAGACTGGGCCGGAATATCTTTTTTCCCATATATCTGACTGACGAAGAGGGAGTTTCATCTTGTTTACCGGAGGATCAGTAGTCTTTTCGATATTCTTTCGATAGGAAGGTGCATGAACCATTTGAGAATGAGATCTACAGCGATATCTGGAGGATGACCTTTGTACACGTCATTGTGTGCGTTGGCGGCAAAAACCGTCCTTATGGCCAGCAGCATTTCAGTCCCGGCATAGCTGTTGTTTAAGTGGAAAAGATTCAACGAAGTACCAGGCACCACAATGCCAGTAAGGCTATGAGGGTGTCCTCTTCGTGGGTTAGATGGTATCGTATGAGTTACTGGGCCGATGAACGGGCCAGATAAGGCCAGGGAGTGTGTGGCCACAGGTTGATGTGCAGGAATGACATGTCTGGCGAAGTGCATGTACTTCAGAATCACCATGGCGCCCGGAATGGACTAAACTTGTATCACGCTGCAGGTTGCTCAGTCGTTGATATTCTGAAGACATGTCATTCAGTGTCTGGGCTGAGGCGTCGAAAGTGAGATCACGTGGGTTTTATTGCTAAATCATGTTTCAGTACTAGTTAAGCTGAAGTGGACCGAGCTTTTGAAGTAGGAGACGTACCCTCCAGGAATCATTTCGACCAGCAAAATCCACTTTGAAGATGATCTCGATAATCGTCATTTTTTGTTCGAGGAATTTTTTCAACTTCGAAGAATCGATTTCCCATTTCGTCACCACTGTTGTGATTTGGAGGACTGTTATATGCTATGGCCGCTAACGACGCACGGATATCGAGTGTAAGTCACCAACATCCAACAGTGACTTCACGAACTGATGTGAGGTCTTCATCTAACCACCCTGAATCCTCTTCTGACCTAAACCAACTTCCTCTATCATTACACATCGAGGTAATAGATGGCTCGGCATACGCCATACGTGTCTAAGCCACCTTAGTCAACGACTAACTTGCCTTCCTTGCCCAGTACTCTTTGTCTGATCTCGACATTGTGCTCATATGGTGATTCCATCATACAAATCGACAGATAGTAGCAATTGAGAATTTAGATGAAAAATTCGGTTAGTACAAATAAGACGTTTACAGTGGGGAATCAGCGTCAACAATCTTCATAACTAGTTTAACCGAAAAGTACTGAAATAGGACTCGTTTCAATCAGTCGGTTTCAACAAATTTTACTTTAACATTGTTGATTAGACCGAATTGACTGACCTCTATTGATGCAGAGGTTTCTGGGTGGATACCTCGATACTGATGTATACTGGCTGGCAGTGGGGATCTAGGATACGCGTTCTGTCCTGTCTCGGATTCGTCAGCTGGACGTATCTGCCTCTCAGTAAGTGATTTTCCCCTCACTAAGACTCGAACTCAAGGCAGATTGCATCAAACATCATAGCCTTATCCAATAAGCCACTGAGTTATGATACTCCCTCCTTGTTTAAAGGTATAGTTTTTATGTTATTGCACAGGAGGCTACATGCTAATAGAAGCTGGTTAATCCGGTATAGAAACTTTATTTGTTGCACAAGTGACCATGTTGACTCAGTGGTCTGGTGGATAACACCCCGGGTTCGAGTCCCACTCTAGGAGGCAGATAAATGTGACTGACGAGTCGCAAATAGGATGGAAAGCATTTTCTGAATTTCAATGCTAGTAACTATCTATCATTACCTTTAATTTAACTTACGTGTTGATGGTATAGGTGCAACAGGTGGCGGACCTTCATTAAGAAAACGTGAAAGTTGACAGTCGAACTTGGCATCAATATAAGGACTGTAAGGATTGTCAATCATTTGAAGATTTACTGAAGAACATGATACATTCTTCACCTGATCAACATCTTGTAATTTTGTACACAATTTAGAATCAGTTACTTTGAATGGATCTGGATTAACAAGTTGAACAATCTTTGATGCATCGAATAGACAATCAATATTATCTTGTAAACCAATTAAAATACCAGCTGTAGTTTGTCTAGCACGAATTAAATCCGAATGAATAATTCGATCAATCCTTAAAATGGAGAAAAGTAATTTATAACAAAGAGAAACTATGACGAAGAGAGAAAGAGCAAAAATACATTAAAATGAAAGAAAAATTCATTGAAATAAGAATATATGATCTGTTATTCGATAAATGAAGTGACAAAATCCTCGAGAATGATATTGAAATGGTGTATGAAAATGAAATGTATTCAATAACCTTGTGTACATCCATCCGATAGGCAATAAATCACACCTATACTGTGTGAGAAGTAGTGATATTGTAGTGGGCGTTGCTGATAAGAATGGATATAAGTAGTACATGTTGAGAGGGTGGCTGGAATCATAGGGAATTACCAGCAATGGGTAAGGATTCTACCAAGAGCAAAGGAAGGGATAAAGCAGGCGTATTATAGTGGATGCTGCTGATAAGAATGTATGAAGAGCAAATCAAGAGAGAAACAGAAGAGGAAACGAAGCACATTTGCAAATGATGGGTTTAGAGCAAGGTGTACCACATGTAATGACTACCGTTCCAATTGTTGGTGACAAATATTCATTCCGTCTTGTTTGTCTTCTGTCTCATGAATACTACTACCTAGTTGTTCAAACAGCTATCATTACTGTGTAATTATTATTTATTTTATTAGTCCCTTGGGTTCCTAGTGGAACATAGGGCTTCACTAGCACGTCTCCAGTGAACTCTGTTCTCTTAAATCTTTCGAACCTAGCTCCACGACAGCCCACAAGCTCTCATTTCCTCCTCGCACGCTCTCCTCCATGTCACCCTCACCTCGGACACCCAACTCATCGCTTCCCATAAGGATTCCACTCGAGCAACTGGCCTGACTTGTGATGTCCCCAGTCAGCCTCCTCAGTGTATGCCCAGTCCATCTCCAATTCCTTCCACTGCATATTTGTTGGGTGATAGGTTCATGATTGGTTCGTTCCCAGGGCTCCTTGTTGCTTATTCTTTCTGGCAATCCATCTGATCTTCAGTATCGAGCCAGTGTAGGCAGTTGTTAATGAATGTCTGTAGTTTATTGGAAATCCGTTTCGTAACGCGCCAAGTCTCTGAACCATCACACAGAAGCACTGACTTGACTGAAGTTGGTGTTGAAAATGCGGATCTTGTTCACATTCCAGGCTGAGTGCAGAAGATCTCCACACTGGTTTCAGGCTAATGAAGGCGTGTCTTGCTTTTCCGATTCTGACTGGCTTTGACATCCTCGTCTGTGCCCGTGTCGCCTGTAGTTGAAACAGTGTATGGATAAAGTTTATTTCACATTTGAAGGTGAATGCATTCGTCAAGGTGACGGTGTAGATATGGACCATTACTAGTTGATATTTATACGTTATATATCGAAAATCTGGCTGATGATCGAATCGCTAAAGTTTTTCTTTACCAGAAATATGTCGATGACATCTTAGTGATTTGTGAGAGGCATGTGGAAATGGCTTGTTTACTAAAAAAACTTAACACCATACAAACACATCAGACTGACTTAAGAGAAAGAGAATAATAATCATCTGCTATTCTTAGACCTACTCCTGAGTCGACGAGATGATTCAATAAGTCTGTCAGTTTACTGAAAGCCTACATGGACTGGATAATACCTGAATTTTCACAGTTTTGTCCAACCCAATAACAGTGGGATCTATCGTGTCAGTACATCAAATAAGATGGATGAAAGGGTCAAGTAACACCGAAGCCAACTCTATATACGGTTCCATGTCACTCTACCATACTACCACATAAAGGTGAATTGAATAGTATCACACACACAGCTTGTCTTATCATTATGGAAGCAATAAAACAGATGCTTCATCATAAACCTAAACACTAGGTCAATGATTACATCACATCCCATTGTGTTTACCAATTTACATGTGTGTATGGTCATACAAACATAGGGAGGAGTTATCGAGGCATGCAGTTGACGGGGGGAGAAAATGTACCTGCCTAAATGGCTCCAAAACAAATGAAGTGTGAAGCAGTGATAAAAGCTGGTGGGAAACGACCCTCTTCATCTATAGCTAAACATATCATAGAAACAAGTCAGAAAATGAATGTCCAACCAGCTTTCAGAGTTTTATATAGAAACAGTCAGAGACGCCTGCTAAGATTTTCGGAAGCCACCTTTATGTGTGCAAAACAACAATTTGTTCTTACACTACATCTACCTTGCTTGGTAAACTTTCTTTTCTTACCAAGATTAGGATCAACCATGTGTCACTCTTCCTGTTTGTTCTTTTGCTTTCTTAATTTTAATCCCCTGCTTATCTTAATTGTTGTATTTGTCCTCCCACTCTTCGGTTTAATATAAATTGACTTGAAACAAATGTGTGTGATGATCAGATTGTTCGAAATGTGTATTGCGTAAATACATCACATAGTTTGTTCAAATAAACTTCGTCTTGTAATTACGCTATCGAAATTCACAAGAACGGACTAACTGTTTCAAACCTTGGTAGGTGCGCTGAGGTTCGAAACCGTGGTATACTAGGTTGATAGTCATCTCCTCAAACCACTGAATAACAGCTCCCGAACACTACACTCCAACTGCAATACACCTCAACTTGGTATATATATATATATATATATATATATATATATATATATATATATATATATATATATATATATATATATATATATATATACTCGTAATTCTCCTTTGTCATACTGGGTCGAATTATTCGACCTCTGTTGGCATATACGGATGTCTCGATATTACCTGAATATTTATTATGGTAATTTACTTGGTTGTGGCTAGCAGAGGAATCCAGAATGCGCGTTTCATCCTATTTAGGACTCGTCAGCTGGACCTACCTGCACCTCAGTGAGTGATGTTGTTCCCACTGACAACTGAACCTCATACCCATCACTTCAAATATATATATATATATATATATATATATATATATATATATATATATATATATATTCAGTTGATTATAAGTTACACTTGTGTTGTATGAGAGCTGACGATACAACCCAGTTGGTTAGGCTGTAGCAGTTGAGGATTGGATTTGAATCCAAGATTTATTACTTCAAAGTTGAATGTTTAAGCCAATAAGTTACAATTACCAGCATTCTACTGAAATGAAGATGAAGTATGATCCATTGGATGGAAAATATGCGTAAAGGTTCGACAGGAATGATGGATAATGATTGGCGGTGGAATCTAAGATGTGCATTTCATTCTACTTGGGACTCGTTATTTTGATACACCTGCCTAGAAGTTAATGATTTTGTTCCCAAGGCTATAAAATGGTCAGATAAAGACAATATTGTTCCAGGTTCAAGGTAGTATTGGCTACGGGTTGATATCAATCGCAGAACCATTGAAAACCTGAGAGTACTGGTTCTCCAATTGTCAGTTTGTGATGAATACTCATCAAACTAAATTACTGTCTACTGCTCATTAGTAACACGCTTTGAGATGGATATCATAAAATTTTGATGAGAAGCCACAACCTGTGCTGCCAACCAAATCAAAAGTGAAGTGGATGACTAAGCATGACCTTAGATGATAGTTGTACTATATCGCGAATTGATAGAGGTAGCAAACTGCAAACACAACCCAGTAGTTGAATGTGTAACGCGTTTACAATAGGACCTGAAGGTCATGAGTTCGATCCCTAGTAGGATTGTGGATGCGTATGGTTGAGAAGCTGTCCCATACCAGGATGAATGCGTATATCCATCTAAATCAATATAGGACCAGGCATTACTGCGTAACGGGCTCCGAGTTACCACACCTCATATCACTGCATCAAGTAAACAAGACAGTCAAGAGGAAGATGAAGATAAGAAAATTCAGTCAAAAGAGATACGAAGTACTAAAAGAGAAAAAGGAAGAATGTGAAAATGGTGAAATTCGGTATAGCGCCGTTAAGATGAGGATAGATAATGGGTGTATACATCTGCACCCCCCCCCCCCCCCCACTACCCACTGACTTCGGTTCTCAGCCATGACCACCTAGAATCAGTCTTCAACCACTGGTTCCACTTGGCCCACGGACCCCAAACCACCTAGTCTGCATAGCCTCACATGACTCAGACCAACAATCAAACACTTCATACATTCATGCCATGTTTTAGTCTGGCCGCCTCGAGCCTTTTACCAGCCTGGACCTACTTTGGACAACATTGTATGATGAGGCAGATGGTAACTGGGTATACGTAACACATGTCGGAGACAACCATCTCAGTCGATGAAGGTTCACAACCTCGTCAACTGACTTACCACTTCTCCCTGAAACTCCACGCCCTAGCCTGACTTGTGCGTTACTCAGGTGGTGACACCACGGAATATGGTCTATACTACTACAGCGACGGTGGTCAAACACCTGAAGCCTTCACTAAACACTGACCTAACAGGTGAATGGGTAACGCGTTTACCATAAGACCTGCAGGTCATGAGTTTGGTCCCTGGAAAGATTGTGGGCACGTATTGTTGAGGAGCTTCCCCATACCAGGACGAAACAGTTGTCCAGTACTCTAAGTTTTTAAATACTTCCTTCAACTGATATCACTGCGTGATGAATACTACTTTAAAATCAATAAATCCCCACAAATCTGTGGCTAACTGGTTAATTCATCTGTCTAGTTCAATCAGTCTGTTATGAGCATTCAACTCGTAAACACCTATCCATGGATTTTAAACCAATATACATAGTCCCAGGTGGGTAGTACTCTCAACCATTAAACAAACAGAATATACCATTTGTGACTGACAGTTTAATGTACTAATATGTCCATCGTTGGTGACTGACTAGTAGAGGTTTACCTCTTTATACAGGTTTAAATCCCGCCCTAGGGTGGTTAGATACTGTCATTCACTCGAACACGATAATTTTAATGCAAATCCTAATATGCATAATTGCCGAATTCCATTATTATCATTACTATTATTGATACTGAGTAATGATTGAAGGTGAAATGAAGACTTGGACCGTGGACAGATTTAAACGATCAGCGATCACCGGGTCTCCGGCCCGATGCACTGCCAAATGAGCCGCGAGGTCCGACTGCTGACTAGATTTTCATCTAACTTCAATCATCAAGGATTAAAAATGATAACCAATATGATGCCCCCCCTCCCCTGTAATTCACTTACATTTGGATTGGGATGAGAAGTCCTGACTAGGTAGCAGCCAGTATGCATACGATCAAGCGATAGTAACATGTCACGAACTCACACGGTATTCGGCAAAACCCTTGGTGATTGAAGTGAAATAAAAGTCTGGTCAGCAGTCGGACCTTGCAGTTGAGGGGGTAGAGCATCTGGCCAGAAACGCAGTGGTCGCTGGTTCGAATCCTACCGCGATTCAAACTTTCATTTCACATTCAATCATCACCCAGTATCAATAACACTAGTCTGCTAAACCACACCTATCTCAGATAGTCAAAAATGATAATTATTATTATCATTATAATGTGTTATTTCAAAAGAAGCGTACTTTATTCCCATTTCTTTAAGTCGACATCCTGTAGCATAAGCTTGTTGCCATCCAATATCTGTAAGAATTTTCTCCTCTGGTTTCTTCTTATTTAAGTGATATTGTCCATGTCGTATAAAAATGATTAATTTATAATACGGTTGCTGATGCATTACAGACGACTGGGAATTTGATTTCAATTCCGACTTTACATTATCATGTTTATCTATAGAGATCAAAAAAATAAAGTATTTGATTGACACATACACAGCTTACCATACAACTTATCCCAGTTGTAGTTCCAGCGTTGAATATTCAATTCAGATCCAATAGAATATAATCCATAGTATATTGAGGCTAATGTTAGAATTCTATATCTATGTGTTTTGAAGTATCGCATTACAATGTACAAGGATCAGAAGTTAAGGGTACAAAGTTCAACCATCAGGTGATCTGTAAAAGTATTTTTTTGAAGTAATCAAATACAAACTATGAAAGACAAAAATATTTATTTTAAAGAGATCAAAGAGGCAAAACAAAGGTTGGATTTTGTAAACTTAAACCACTGGCTATGTGATGCTGCGATGAGAAGCACAGTGGAGAGGATATAAAGATTTTTGAACAATATCCATCCATCATCCATCTAAATCAATATAGGACCAGGCATTACTGCGTAACGGGCTCCGAGTTACCACACCTCATATCACTGCATCAAGTAAACAAGACAGTCAAGAGGAAGATGAAGATAAGAAAATTCAGTCAAAAGAGATATGAAGTACTAAAAGAGAAAAAGGAAGAATGAGAAAATGGTGAAATTCGGTATAGCGTCGTTAAGATGAGGATAGACAGTGTGTGTATACACCTGCACCCCCTCCCCCCCCCCACTACCCACTGACTTCGGTTCTCAGCCATGACCACCTAGAATCAGTCTTCAACCACTGGTTCCACTTGGCCCACGGACCCCAAACCACCTAGTCTGCATAGCCTCACATGACTCAGACCAACAATCAAACACTTCATACATTCATGCCATGTTTTAGTCTGGCCGCCTCGAGCCTTTTACCAGCCTGGACCTACTTTGGACAACATTGTATGATGAGGCAGATGGTAACTGGGTATACGTAACACATGTCGGAGACAACCATCTCAGTCGATGAAGGTTCACAACCTCGTCAACTGACTTACCACTTCTCCCTGAAACTCTACGCCTTAGCCTGACTTGTGCGTTACTCAGGTGGTGACACCACGGAATATGGTCTATACTACTACGGCAACGATGGTCAAACACCAAAAGTTTTCTCTTGTCCTCCACTTTCAATGCCCATGTTTCACAACCATTCAGTAAGACAGAGCGGACTGCTGCGCAGTACACGGGACCCTTAATAGAAAATCGGACAATATGAGTAACATGATAAAATCTGACTGGCAAATCAGCGTAGAACGTCGCACACAAGTTGCCATATTTAATAGTAGTATACAAAGAATAAATGACTAGAAAAAAACTTATGTCAAAGTAGACAAACTTGTGTGAGAGAGAATAAACAATCTGAAAATAAAGGTTAGTGTGAATATTCAAGCTTTAGAAGATGTCAAGAAGTGAATATATTTGAGTCACTGTGACCGATTTTCAGCCATGTCACCGAGAGTTCTCACCCACAGATTCCTTTCGTCTCAGGGACTCTAATCAGACCAAAACCAACAGTGGGATACTTCATAAACTGGTGCTACGTTTTTGTCAAACCACTCTGAACCCTCTTCCAACTAAATCCAAATTCTCCGAAAAAAGGGAGGCTGAGACTCAAAAGTAGTGCCCAAGTACGAGGGGCTTCTGAGTTCAGAAACCGACTTACAGAAAAAATCCTCAAATCATCCGACAACAGCAAAGGACCATTTTGACGGAAGGTATGATGCACCTTAGTAGTGTAATAACATCAACTGTCTTAAAATCCTTCGGTAGGATTTATCATCAACAACTGAGACACAAAATGCAACAGTCATATCGAGCAAAGATATTCTAGATGAAGAATGGATATCCGTTGTACAAGATAAAAACAGCCAGATTTCAACTTCAGTCAAACCCACCGGGTCTGGGAAGGCAGGAAACGTCGGGAACAAGCTCGAGCAGGGTAATATGGGAATGAGGGAGGTTAAAACTAAGTGTGAAAGGAAATCGAACCTCCAGCAAACCATGCGAGTCAAACACAAGCTCGTTACCCACAAATAAGGCCAAAGTGGAAGAAAAATAGAAAGTTAGACAAAAAACGCCCAAGCGTCAATAGTTGATAAGACAAACCACTGTCCGGAATGATTTTTGAACCTGATTGATAGTCCTCGTCTTCTGTAAAGCCTTCAGGATAAGAACGATAGGGTTCTGTGAAAAAGCATATGCAGAAGACTTAAGCTGGACTACGTTAGGCCAATAGTTGCAACTAGGCTCTCACGCGGTTCAGATTCAAAAACTAAGGACAAGCTTCGACTCTCACAGCTAACATTTGCCAACTCAGATGATGTTGAGGGTCTACTGTTAGCATCTCACATGCTAAAAGCTGAAGGGGAAGTCAGGATACTACCAGATATCCCACAATCTGGGAGAATGACCATAAAGAAACTCTACGGCGACAATTGCGGGGCATACTTTAGGGGAAGGAACCTGATAATACTAGGCATACTTGAAAACCCAGGCACCAAGGGTATTCACGATTCCCGCGGGTGGAAGTTCCTCGAGAATACTATGGACCTCAAGAGGATAATAACACAGAGGGTTTTACGAATGCCCAAAAAGATGATGACCTCACACCAAGGCTGATCAAAGTGGTCATTCTAGCCTCTTAAATGGCAGCATCCACACTCAAGGGATTCTGGGCGAACGGAAATCGCCTGCCATCTGGAGTCCGTATGCAGCCTGATAGGTGGCAGAACGAGAGGCTGCAACGAAGACAGAAGAAACTGAAGCTGGTTGTACCTCTGGAAGACTCCTTAGATGAAAAAAACGGGGGAGGGGTTGGGAACATTACACTGGTAAGCAAGCCTTAGGCAGGTTCCCAGTCCCATACCTGAGGATTTAGCCAGCCAATTGGACAATGAAGAAGACTCAGGAAGTGCGTTCCAAGTAGATGGCATAAATTGCATCTATGAACTGCACGAACTAATTAAAGAAACTTATCCTCATCTTAAAGGTTTCATGTTACTGAGACATGGGTTTTTTTGGACATGTTAGATCAGAAGCTGGCAGTTGCTAACACCACGCTGTTTCATAAAGATAGGAAGCCTGGTAAGGATGGTGGGGGAGCACTTTACGTCAGCTATTTTCTCACAACTCACCAAATTCACACTCAAGAATTGGAGTGCCTTGAGGAGTCCATCTGGTGATCCAGAAAGTTGTCTCAGACTACAAAGTGCTTAGTGGAAGTCATTTAAAGGAAGCCACTAGCTACTGTACAGTATGACGATCAAATGTTAGAGGAAAGCAGTTGCTTTCTTAAACTGGGGCACACACACATACTAATTCTTGGAGATTTATACCTACCGAGGGTTAAGAGGGAGTCAAGATTCCATTGAAGCCCGATTCTTTAATCTGACTGGGGAACTGGGCGTACGGAAAATGTGCGAACAGTAAGGTGATGGAGAGATATCTAAAACCCATCCCGCTTAAAACGCATCTTTATAACTAAAGGATTCTTCATTGACAACCTACCAATCCATCCTCCTTCGGGTAGGGGGGAAAGGAGTTGTGACTAGCTCATCAGGTCGCCGGTTCGAGCCCCGCTCCACCAACCGAGGTTTGGGGAGCCACGTATTACCGTTAGCCCTCACACAATATGTGTGGCTTATTGCTCACTGCATAGACGTGCACAAGGTGGCTGAGTACCCCCTCTTTGGGGAGGAGTGACCACGTTGTTATTGGCGTCCAGTATGCCTGCGAAACCAATCTAACCAGACCTTGTGATGAGCCTTGTTTGAATTTCAAAAGACTGGACGCTCCGGCTCTTCGGCTGGCGCTGGAAAAGACAGATCAGAGAATTGGCCGTGTATAGCAGGATGTGAACACTCACTGGAGATTCAAAATCATGTATGCAATCGGCCAGCGATTCTATTACACTTTCAACACCGAAGTGCTCCAAGTCACCTAAGGTAATAAGCGATTTAACTAGCGAAATACTTAGGTTAAAAAGACACCACCAGGTTAAACACAAAAGGATTGGCACCAAATATACAAACTGACTATTCAAACAGACAAGAAACACATGTACGAATGCATTGAGAGCCGACTGGCAACGGCATCAAGTTAGGCTTACAAACATGTTTTTTTCTAACGCAAGTCTGTTTCGCTATGCTGCACCGTTCCGGTGGGTTAATCAAGAGTCTCTCAACTACTAAGGCCCAACGGACTGACTAGTAGCAACGTTGAAGTAGCTAAGCTCCTAGTTGACCAGCATTTACAAATCTTCTCGTCGTCATCCACCTACTCCGGAGTTTATGAATATCCTACTAACGACGTAAGACTCACGATGGTTGGCTTAGGTGTTAGGCTAGTACAGCCCAAACTGTTGCTGATTGCAAAATACACCTTACCGGGACCAGGTAAAATCTTTGCGGCGGCACTACGAGAAGGAGCATCAACCTTCGCTGAACCTTTAAGTTATCTGAAGAGATTTTCACTGTCAGGCGGAAGTACCCGATCCTCGGAAATTGGGCCACATAACCCCAATCTTCAAACGAGACCAATGAAGCAAGCCGAAGAAATGCAAACCGGTGACGTCCTCATCTATGCCTTCCAAAGTAATGGAATCATTAAACTGTGACTAAATGAGGGATCACCTTATAAAGATTAACTTCTTTACATCCCAATAATAAGGATTTAGAAAAGGATACTCCCGTATTACTAGTCTGCCCACTGAAGTCGATAGATGGAATAGTATTGTCGACCATCGAGGTCGAATTGATGTTATTTATCTGGTCTCTGCAAAAGCGTTTGATCAAGTTAACCACGACTGCCGTATTGATAAATTAAAATTAATCGAGATAAGACCACCGCTCATTGACTAGTTGCTTTCATATTCACGAGGTCGCTTACTTAGAATTCGAGTGAATCTCTTCATGTCAGAAGAAACAGGATGTCCTATTGGAGTTCCCCAAGGTTCAGTACTCGGGTCTCTTCTTCTTCAAACATATACAAATGACTTGCCTAAATAGGTTTCGTCAGAAATCCTTTTTGTCGGTGACGTGAAGCTATGGGCAGAAATCAGAAGTGAAGAAGACAGTGTTTTGTAGCAGAAAGAGTTAAGTTAACTTTAAAACTCGACAGGCAATACAGGACTCGCACTAAATCCTGAGAAATGCAAGGTGATAAGCATAAAACATTACGTATATCACGTATATAGACTCAACTGCATGGAACTTGAAACATCATTAACAGGGAAGGATTTGAGCATTTCAGTCCTTCAAGACTTAAAATCCTATGCCAAGTGTGACAGAAATGTCTTTCGTGGAGACTTAGCATCTGTAACGAATTTGCGAGCAATTCGATTGTAGATGAGGTTACCTGAATTTGAGAAGTTTTATAGGGTCTCACTTGTAGTTCAGGACTATCTTCCTCCCCCCCCCCTCTCCGTAGGACAAATTAGGCTTAGAACGCATTCAGACGAACTCGATTAAATCGACTCGAGGAATTTGGTCTAAAATATATGAAGAACGACTGGTTGCGTTTGATCTATATTGCCTGGAATATAGAAGAGTAAGAGGAAAATTGACAGTGGTTCACATCCCGTGCGCCCCTAGATACCTACTCTGTCACTGACTGAATTTTAGTTTCAGCACTAATCTTAGAGGACATACATAAACTAAGCCTAGAACATAGAAAGCTAGATATCAGACACAACTTCTATTCCTTAAGGGGTGCCAGGACTTACAATGCTCTTCGTATAGATGTATTACAAGCTACTTCGTACGAATTCTTAAAACCTCAGTTTGGTACTTACATGAGATGTGGGTGGGATCCCAAGACTAACTGAGTTTTCACATTTTAGTTGCCACTTTTTGCTCTCTTTTAACTTGAACACAAGCTGACAAGAAAAATAAGTAGTGGCTCGTGGGTTCTAGATTTAGAGGACAGTCAAAAGAAAGCTTTTTCTATCCCGTCAACAACCAGTTGGACCATTTAGTTATCAATGTCCATATTTGGACGTGGTCGACTGTCACCAGAATTAGGTCAACACGACTTATTTAATCCATAAGCATCTTAGCATACGAGTTTGAATATCGTTATTTTAAAGCAAGCACAGAGGAACATACAAAGTCGAAACGACTACCTTCTGACTAACCCTTATTTTTCTTACTTGGAATGACCTTGAGGAAGACTTCACCGCCTACATAACCTGAATGACCTTTTCCCATTAGCTGGATCAAACTTCATCTTTCTTTATGTCCTACTTCAAACTTTGAACTTCGTATCATTGAATTGACAGACGATGGTTCCTTGTGTTTTGTTTCTGTTCCATTGCAGCACGTTTTCTGTTTCAACACTCAACATCAATAGTGCGAGTAGAGGAAACTTGTAGTTTCTCAGCTGTCGCTTCTAAGTCTTCTGTCTCTGCTCTTTTGTTGGGTTGTACTCCTCCGATGGTCCCAGAAGTCTTTGAGTTTCTCCTGCTTATAGCTTTGTAGGTGGTGACTGTCTACTTGAAAGTATTTTTCCCACAAATTGTGACTTGGTTTGTTTTGGTGATGGGGGGTAACGGAGCTGCCAGTAAGATTAGATAGCCGTTTGCAATTCCTTTTTTTGTAAGCACCTGTAATAAAGTATTAAGCGTTACTTAAAAGATGCTAGAAATAGGGTGAGTGGGGAACGAGAAAAGGGGTGAAAATTACTCATGGAAGGATAAGTGTTACCGGTAATAATGTGGAGGTGAGATGCGTCTCATTACAGATACCAAGGTTGGGGGGCACAGGAGTGGAAGAGTATATCATCGGTTGCTGCCGACAAATCGTTATGGTGAGCCATTTGCGCCCACATACCCATCCAATAGTCACTAGAAGGAGTTGACTTATGTGGCTGCTTCTTTCGGTTGAGAGTTCCATCAGGCACATACTCTGTGGGAGAAAACGTAAGATCTCACTCTTGTCTTTGCCCTATAGTGGGGTGGGTGAATGGAGTCTTCACGAGACTGGCTACCTGGGACAGCTGGTGTTGACCTACTGGGGTGGTCCCCCTGGTGAATGCTAATGTAAGTTGTTATCAAGTCACCTCGTTTCCATCGATAGCTTAGTGGGGTCCAACTTAGGTTTTAAATACTACAAGGAATAATTCTGGGGTGAACGATCCAAGCTGCCTTCTCGGAAAGCGCATGATGCCGTTAGCCTTTGCTGCCATTACCTTATAATTGTCACTGGTGCCCAGTGTGTCGAAGAAGTTTGGTCCCAGGTCCGTCTCAGTAGATCCCTTGGTGATTGCACAATTATTGAGAGTGTAGCTGATTTTTGTCGCCTCTGGTGTGCAAAGATACATCACCTTACATGTCTCCGGGTTAAGGCCTAAACCGTTTGCAGCTGACCCGGACTCCAGCTGCAACAGGTTGTTTTGGAGCATCTCGTGATCCTCTTCCCCACCTGTTGTCCTCCATATCTTGATGTCATCGGCAAATAGGAGGATGGACGGGAGGATTTTAATGGGAGAGCCATTTATGAATTGTACAAATAGGAGCTGTCCAAGGATCGCCCTTTGAGAAACTCCTATTCTTGCATTCCTCTAAGCTGAACGGATTCTGTTCACTTTAGTACAGAATTCTCAGTCATCTAGATATGTTGCCAATTAAGCCATGAGTGGTACAGTGACACCTTTTGCAAGTTTAGCAGGCAAGATGCATCGTAGGACGCTATCTAAGGCTTTGGCCAAGTCCAGAATTATAACGCGGACCGGTTGCTTGTGGTGGCACCTAGTGATCCAGTCATAACAAGTGGGCATGACCGTTGTGGCCGTCCCGTTCTTGAGCCATGCTGGGAGGAATGAACGGTGTTGCTTCCGTTCACGTGGTCCCAACGGACATCTGCAACCGGGCTCATCAGTGCCTTGCTTGGTATGGGAAGTGACGCTATTGGTCTGTATTTGCAAGGGTTTCTTCAGTCCCCTTCTCCGAAGATTGGTGAAAAGATACTGTGTTTCCATTCTTCGGGTAGTTGACTTACTTCAAAACGAGTGCATGAACCATTTGAATTTGGGTAAGTTTAGGACTTCGGCATAGTTTCGTCACAGCCCGGGAATTTCTTTACTTTTGGCGTTGAAAGTTTCGCAGACACTTTGTCTGACAAAATCTTTACGTCCATCAGCGTTGTATAGCAGTCCTGGGACTTCGTTACACTGCAGGTGTTGATAGTGGATACATTACTGAGGTTCAGAAGCTCGTCACATCCGCTCCTCAACAGTTACGCTGTCTCACTGACGTTCAAAGATTCTCCGCCCGGTCCTGTTTTACTTTATTTTTCTTCCTTTGGGTTCATAGTGGAACATAGGGCTTCAGTAGCACGTCATCATCTCACTCCCTTCTCTGCAGTCTTTTTTAACCCAAGCCCACCACTGCCCACAACCTTTCATTCCTTCCCCACACAATCTCCTCCATGTCACTCTCACACACCTAACTTGTCCTTTCCCATTCGGCTTCCATGCGACGGCCTGATCTGGCACGTGATGTCCCCAAACCGTCTTCTAACTGTATGTCCAATCCAATCCCATCCATCTACACTTTCCTCTACTGGTCGATGGGTTCTTGGTTGCTTCGTTGCCACCCAGCCACAGTTCCTTGTTGCTTATTCTTATTGTTCTGGCCATCTAATCTTCAGTGTCAGTGTCGGCTTAGCGTAGGCGGCGGCAGCTGTCAATGCGTGCCTGTAGTTTGTTGGAAATATTTTTCGTAAGTCTCTCAAACATATAGTAAAGAAGCACTGACTTGACTGAATTTAGTGTCGAAGATCGGGATGTTGTTCAGGCTTTATGGTGAGTGGAGTGCAGTTCAGTGGATTAGATTTTCACGTTGATTTTTCAGATCAATGAATACCTGTCTCGCTGTCTTTCCTATTCTGGCTCTGACGTCTTCATGTGTGCGGCCGCCACGACGCAACTTCCCTCAGACTTCTCCCGTTCATGGCGACTGATGCGTGTTGTTAATGTTGCTGTTGTCTAGGTATCTCCATCACCTCAGTCTTCTCCACGTTCAACTGAAGCCCCATCTTCATTCGCTGCCTCGCCTCTCCTAGTCTGTCAACTTGTTAGTTCCTGCCCGTATATCTCTAAGTTTGTGCAGCATTAGGCATAAATCATCACCGACGAAATGCAAATCTTCTTCGGGGGTCTTTTCATCGGTCCAACCAGAGTATGCTCATCTTCCCGCTTCTCACTGTTGTCTGTTGCCCTATCCAGTCCACCGCAATCGGGAAGATCATCGGTGGCGGTGGGCGGTGACCTTGTGTCACTCCTGTCTTCACTTAACTTCAAAGGCATCACTGAGCTTTCCATTCTGACTCACTTGACACGTAGCATCATAAAGCATATAGCTTCTGTTGAATGCGGTCGATAAAGTTTGTGGCACCAAAACCGCGGTGTCGAAGTAGCCGCCTGCCAAATTACTTCTTGGTTGACGCCATCGAAGGCATTTTCGAAGTCGATGAACTTGATTGCCCTCTGCTATGATGCGTAGCGTAACGTTGCAATCAGATCCGCACATGACTTGTTCTTCCTAAAGCCAGACAGCCGACAAGCCTGTTCCGGTTGTAATTTTGGATGCAGAGCATTTTTGGTCTCTCCAGGGTGATGTGGCCTAATATTTTGCTTGGTGTGGATAGGAACATGATTCCGTACCAGCTTACGCAAAGACTTTGGTCGCCCTTCTTCGGGACTTTGACAGGATAGTTCTTCTTCCATTCAATCGGCAGACACCTTTCCTTCCTTTCCTCTCAACCTTCTGCAATAGTGGTGTGAGTATATCAGCCGTTGTCTCTGAGTCTGTTTTCAGTGTTTCCGGAGGGATTCCATCTGGTGCCTCTGCTCTCTCTGCTTTCAGCGACTTCATGGTGTTCAGGACTTCTGCCTTTGTCAGGAGGCTTGTGTTTACTGGCAATTCTGTGGCTGCTGGTTCTATTTCTGGATGTGTTACAGGTGGTGGCCGGTTCAAGAGTTTTCTGCAGTGGTCGGCCCGTTGTTTCCTTTGTTTCTCTTCTTCGGTAACTAGGTTTTCTTCACCGTCTTTCATTGGTTTCATCCAGGCTGATTTCGTCGCAGTTATAATGTTGATATAATGTTGTCACGTCTCTACCCCTCCAACCTTCAGCTTGTTCTGCTCCACTTGCCACTGTGTGGTAGAAGTATCTTTTGTCCTTCCGTGCACTCTTCTTCACTCCTTTGTCCAGTGTTTCATATATTGTGTTCAGTTTCTCTTTTCGTCATTCATTCCTTCACCGCACTGCACTGGTTCATCTTCCGCTTCCCCATCTTCCTCTCCCTCCTCTACCAGCTTCCATGTGTCCGTCGAGATCCATTCCTTGTCTTGCCACTTCTTTTCACCTCCTACCACGGTTGTGTGGGTTTCCTTCCATGTCTGTTTCAAGGAGTTCCGGTGTTCTTCCACTCCCGATCCTCCAGGGATATTGCCTAATGCCTCCCACTTTTTCCTGATGACTGACACGAAGATGTCCTTTTCAGTTTCGTCCTTCAGTTTCTGCTCTGGGCGTCGAACTTGAAATATGGTCTACCACCAATTTCGGTGAAGGCTTTCAACCTGATTTTGAAGGCTCGTTGCACTAGATAGTGGTCTGAACTGTCTACATCTGCTCCTCTTCTTCTTCTTGTGTCCGGTAGGGTGCGTCTCCACTCTCCCCACACTGAGATGAAGTCGATCTGACCTTTAGTGTGTCCATCTGGTGATATTAAATCCATGTAGCTTTGTCAGTATCCTTGTGTTTGTACACACGGCATTCAATCATCGAACCATCAATACACAGAAGTCTGTAAAGAGTTCTCTATTCTCATCCATTTCACTGATGGCCTCTCAACCTATAATTGGTTCGCTTCCTGTATTGCCTGATCCCAGTTTGGCACCCATATCATCCATCAGAATGAATTTAAACAGCCATATAGGGCGGGGTCTTGTCTTGTACCGATTGCAGTTGTCTGTAGAATTCCTCATTCTTCTCTTGGTTTGCATTATTTGTAGGCGCGTAGCATTGTATGACTAAATTTTCTTTCTATTGATTTGGATCTTGCTGTCATGATCCTGTTGGAGGAGATTGGTTCTCACTGCATGACAAAGAGCCTTCGGTGCTGTTAGGGACATCATGATAGCCACTACATAACTCAGTGTGTTAGTGGTTGTCGTCTGGGTGACAATATCGGAG